ATAAATTCGCACAAAAAAAAACGAATAAAATAATCGCTAAAAGTTTCATATTTTGACGCATGAATGGTCTTGTTGAGATACACTTCTGGACACCGGATGAGCCCGATCGGTCCAGATCGGTTAAAATTCGTTTTTTGCAAATGTCATGAAAACTACAAAACCGATTTCAATTCGACCTGCGAAAGAAATATTCATCACGAAAATCTCCATCTAATGAGATCAGTGTGTATATGCCTCACTGTGCTGAGTTTGACAGTAATCGCATTTTTCTTTTTTTTTTCCTTGCAATTGTTGTTTGCGCAATAACTCAACAAATAATCGAGATAGAGACTTCAACCTGGCATTTCAATTGTAGCTCTGATCATATCACAGGCTGGTATTGTGACTGGGCGCAATCGGTCCGCTAGTTCCGGAGATATTCATGTTTTTCGGTAAAACTGTCTAATTGAATATCTCAAAAACTACCCAACCAATTTCATTATTTTTTTTTTCAAAAGACTCGTGACGCTATCTTCTATTGAGTGCAATTGAAATATACATACACTCCGATACAAAGTTATTGAGATATTGCGATTTTTCCATTTTTTAAATTTGAAATTTGTTTGTGGGTACTCTAATATGCCGAAAGGTGGGTTCCGTGAGAAATTTCAGCTCGATCGGTCCACTAGTTCCTAGTATACAATGATTTGAAGATAAAAATGAATATTGAATTTTTATAAATCCCATTCGGAAGCTTACTACCAATCGCATTGGTAGAAACAGAAGAAAAAATTAACCCATTGAAACATTCACCGAACGCATCCAACCCAGCCGCATTCAACCAGTCGCATGCTACGGCGGCCGGCTTGTTTTTTTTTACGGTTTTTTCTTATTAACCAATCATTTGGTTGAAAAATAACATGATACCTGTTTAGAAAGTCGTGCAAAAAATCCATGGTGGAATTGTGTTTACTTGATTTTCAGTGATTTTTTTGCTCGTCGTTCCTGATCAGTACTTCAACAATCATTCATTAATCAATCAAAAAGATGATTACCATTCCCCAAATTTCATAACTTGAGAAACATGCATTTTAGTAAATAAATGCAAGAATAGTCCTTTGAGGGAAAAAGGCATATTATAAAAGAAAACGGAATCCAGTTCGGAAAAATTGATCATCATACAAAAAAAATCCTAAAAGAATATATCTTATAGACTATAATTCAAATGAGCTTTATTTTTTTCGTTTTGTTTCATTTTGCCGGTACGTTTCGGAAATATTCAATTGTTCAACAATTGGGCAGAGGTGACACTGACTGAAACTTAGTCCCAAAATGAAAAAAAAAACAATTAGCGGAAGTCGATCCAATCATAGTCTATTGAATATATTTTTTCTAAATTTTTAGGGTGCCTGTACCATTGTTGAAAACAATTAAATATAATTTGTTGAGAATAAAATATCAGCAATTATTCATTTTTCTGAAATCGATGTCATTTTCCAAGACAATTCGCCTCTTCCCATTGGAAAACTATTCCAGCATTTTCCCATAAAATACAGACGTCCTTAGTTATGAACCTTTGACAGAACCGTAAATAACATTTTCCCCACACCTGCACGAAAAGTTGTTACTTTCCTCCCTGATGAGCGGGAGGAAAGTGAGCACTTTCCGCCCTAAGGTGGAAAGTAGCTCCCTTGGGCAGAAAGTACTGATTACTTTCCGCCCAAGGGCGGAAAGTCAGTACTTTCTACCCTCGGGAGCAACTATCCACCCTCGGGGGGAAAGTACTCGCTTTCCTCCCGCTCCTTAGGAAGCAAAATACCAACTTCCCTTCGCACATGTACGGAAAAATCGTATGTGCACCCCGGGCGGGAAAACATGACTTTCCGCCCTAGGTGCACAATATACTATTTTCATTCAAAAAGTATTTGTTGGAAAAATAATCGGCAACGATAAACGAAAAAATGATGGAAAGTCACGGAAAATATATTCTATAGACTAAATGTTTTCTAAATCATCACAACGCTTAATCATTTCCTTTCCAAACAGACTAATATGTTCTTAGAACGAAGTGAATAGTTATCAATCTCTGTTCGCTTTGTCCATTTTTCTGCAATAAGTCCCCTCAGAAAGTCTCATATAGTGATTCTCATATTTTCCGATAAATGCATATTTTTTTAATTATATAATTTCGAATGAAATAACACTTACCACTTTTGTTGATAACAAAAATTGTTTGGCAACTAAGAGTCAACATCTCACTGAATAATGAACACAAATAACGGCAAATATGTACTCTAACATTCATTTTTCCCCAATTGGGGCATCGTGTATGTTTGTTTTTTCCAACAAATGATTTTGGTGAAAAGAAAAAAATTAGGTCTCGATAAATTGCAAATTAAAAAGTGTATTGCATAATAAAAAAAAATGTATGGAAAGCGAAATGATGGGAGCGCTCTTGCACCATTTCGCTCCCACTTTTGCTCTTCGCAAGAGCGATCCCGACATTTCACTCTTCTTTTCACTCTTTGCAAGAGCGCTCCCGACATTTCGCTCTTCTTTTCACTCTTTGAAAGAGCGCTCATTGAAAGAGCACTCTTTGGCCAAAAAGTGGAGCGGGAGCGGGAGCGCACTTTCAGTCCCTGATAGTATTAACTTCTGCCTAAAACTTTGAATTCTTTTTCCAACTTCGAAGTGTTTTGTGGAATGTCAAATCAGCTCAGAGTTGAAAAGATTATAAAAACACGAATATCTCGAAAATTTTGTAAGAATGTGTAATGTGCACTCTTCTACCTCTTTCAGGGACAGGTGGCCTGTCATTGAGTAGGTTTCGGGGGTCGGTGTGGCGACCATCAAACTACGGAACTGTCTTTGTCGGAAATAAAACATTTTCTGCGAGTCAAAGAGAAAAATAAATGAATCATGAAGTTTATAAATAGTAGTTGAAAATTAATACTAGTTATCAATTTTTTAAAAAATCAATGAGTTATAAATATTTTTCTCAAAGCACCAGGGTTGCCTTCGCTGGCCCTGAAGAAGGTAGCAAAGTGTACAATATGGAAAGGATTTTCCGGATCCGAGAGGAAACATTATCGTAAAATGGTAAAGGGATGGGGTTAGAGTAATAATATCTTTTCCGGAAAATGTCAACAATAGGGAATTTGCATTTTTTTTAATTTTCTTTTCGCCAAATATATGCCTCCAAGAACCCATATTTGATAAGGAAACACATTGAAAATAGTGTAATAATTATTTATTTGCTTTTAAAAATTGCATTCTTTAAACATTCTAATAAGACCTGTGACGTCAACTCACCGGAGGCCAAAATTTTCGTGTGGCGCCGTAAAGCTGTTCAGTACAGCTGCTGAAATCTAGAAAAACACTCTGTACATGTATTTGGCTCCAAAATGTCTGAAAAATCGGACCGAGTGATGAAAGTTCCCTATAAATACTGTTTTGTACCAGGATGTAAAAATACAACAGTGAAAATTATACGACCACGACTTTCGACACTTTGACATAGATTTAAACCCATAAAATCTATCAACATAGTCACGTCTACCGTTGGTAAATTCCCCGAGCTTGCCGTTTGAAAATCATTTTTCAGCTCAAACTTCATTTGTTAGTGCAAATATGTTATTTTATCCACTTTTAATAATTGTTTTAGACATAACCTCCTCGATTTGTTTTGGTTGAACGTCTCGCACTTTGAGGGGCTAGAATAACTCAATAGTGCTGCTAAATAGTCGCCAGCGGAATTTGATTCCGGTGAGTTGACGTTATAGCCCCAAAAAATGTGTTCAAAATTGATGGATTTTTAATCAGTTATTACAAAGTATCCAGATCACCTTTCGGAAAACTTTTTACTCTGGAATGGTTCATAGACTACGACTCTATTCATTTAAAAATATTCGAAAAGTGGACTCTACGCTAGTTCCCTATTATTAGAAATATTTCAGAGGGTCGATTGTTACGAATATTTACACAAAGTATAAAATATTCCATTGTCCGTAAATTGCAATTTTTCCCATTCCAATTAACTATTTCTTATTGGAGATAGCCACGTGAGATATTTGTATTTAAGAAAACCAATAATTATTCAAAAAATTGAATTTTTGTTTAACCATTCCATTCTTCATCAAGTGGGCTATTATGTAAAAAATTGGGATATTTTGGAAAAAAAATTGAGGTCCTGGGACTCGGTCAAAGTCAATTAATTTACACGGTATACAAAAATCGCGATTTTTTTTCGTGAAGGTACAAGTCTACAAAGTTGGCGAATTACACTTTTGAAAAGGATAGTAGATCGCATCCAGTGGCGCTGCGCGCCACGAAATTAGCGTTTTTCAGGTCCCTCGACACGAAATTAATACATTACATGCCTGAGCCTTGGAAAACAGATCAACGTCCCCCACGTGCTTGTCATCCTCGCCTTCGGCTCGAAAGACAATCTTGCACGTGAGGGACGGTGATCTGTTTTCCAAGGCTCGGGCATGTAATGTACTATTTCGACATATCTGCACGGCAAAGTTCGATTTTCCTCCCCAAATGACAGGAGGAAAATGGCTTATTTTAGTCCTCGGATTTCTGTTGTTTTTGACGATTCTTGGAATGACATAGCCATAATGATTTTTGAGAAAATCTATCGGATTTCTATGGGATTTCTATTGGAATTCTATTGCAAAATTCTATTAGTTTTTTGCGCTGATTCTATTGCTTATTTCATACGGAAAAGTCAATAGATTTTGAATTTCTTTCTCCAGAATCCCAATAGAATTCTAGCTAATTCGCTAGGTTTTCCTATCGGATTTTTCCATACGTGTCAGCAATGCGCTACTAACCTGAATCGGAAATAATGAGTCAACGGCAATAACGTCATTATTTCCAATTACCCTTTTTTCTTCCAATAGGATTTAAGGAGTTTTTTCCACCAGGGTCCACTGGTGATGTTAGCCGGTTTGAATCTAATTTACCGTAAGAATTCACTATGATTGCCAGAAAAAAAACCTTGTTTTTTTACTCACCTGTAAAAATAATTCATAAAGTATTTCTTCATTGCATCTACTGCTTAAATTACCGCACCATATGATCCTAGCCTCCTCATCCATCATGGAGCAACGAAAACTAATTGCGGCGATCAAATTGTAGTATTATTATTTGATGATTAATGGCTCCGGCTGTTTAGGACCGCGGTTACTAAATTAGACAGGTTAAGCAGGCGTATGATCTTTGTCGTTGGGCTAATTTGTACTGGGCCAATTGTTTTTATGTTCAAAGTAAAGTATACTGCTATGAATGGTGAAAGCATTCCACTGGGAATTGTAGGTTATGCGAATATTCCTTTCCTTAGTTTTTTTTTATCTAAAAAAGAGAGCACTGTCATAGCCAAAGAGGATTGACTAAAGTAGAGGCTCAGATCTCGGGGTTCAAGTGACCGCAAGCCAAAAATAGTATGACCCCAATGGAGGGATGGCGCCACGGTCGAATCTGAAGGCTGGGCGAGCTGCCAGAGATTATGGGTGCGTTTCGGAATCAACTACTGTAGCTGCAGTAAAGCGAATTAGATAGGAGGGTTACAGTACTGCTACTGCTACTAAGTCGATTGTGAAACGGGCCCTATAGGGGAGATCAGCAGGGCCAATGCAAAGTGTTCAACCAGAGATTATAGGGGAGATGAGCAGGGCCAATGTAAAGAGTTCAACAGCAAAATTCGTTGCGGTGGCGTATGGACTACGATGGAGCGTACGGAACTGTTGGTATGGTACGGCCCGAGCATAAATTTGTCGATAACCGGAAAGGGGTTCTCAATACGGTAGCTCCTCGCATTTTGTAATAATTGTCAGGAATGTAAAATCGAACATATTATAATCAATAGTATAATGAATGCAGAATCTAATGATCTAAAAATGTTTTCCTTTTTCTCGACATATTTATTATTGACACGTAGGTCAAAAAATTCATAGAAAATCCCAGCGCTGTCGCTGGAAAACTCTATAGTTTTCCAGTGATTCTATTGAATAATTGTGCAGATTTTGTTTTTTTTTACTATAGTAATGTTCGATTATATATATTTATTCCCCCCCTGAGTGAGAAAGGAATATGTATCGCGCTCGCTCCCACTCATTGTCGTCTCCGTCACGTTGGCACGTGCCCGTCCTCCGCCAAACTTAACGAGCGCGAGTGAGAAAGAAAATGGAGAAGAAGGAGAGAGAAAACATTCTAACTCGTTTGAACGGGTTGGAACGTTTTCGTTGTTCTTCAGCGATCTACATATTATCGGATTAATTCAATAGTAATAGATTAATGAATAAGATTTTTCGCAGATTATTGCGAGATTTAGATGAATGGTTTGCCTCCTTCAGTGACCAT